TTACATTTAAAAATATATTATAATTATATACACATAAAATTTTACTTTTTTATAAAATACAGTGAAATACTTCGATCTTTGCTAGCAAGTTTGTTTTAATTAATTAATTTATTATATATTTATTTGTGACAAAAATTTAAATTTTCATTAGAAATGAATATTTAATGTACAAGTTTGAAAACTGCTGTATTGCCGTAATTTAATTCGCGTTTTCCGCGAATTTACGGCTAGAATTCTCACGGAGCGCATTAACCGCGCCGAGGGAGTGAAACACCTACTCGCTTAATTAGCCGCGTGCGTGTCTTCACTACAGTGATGGAAGTTCGCGTACTGGACGCGCGCAACATCGACAACGAGCTAGAAGTTTTCCCCAGCGACGCCGCCCAGCAAAAGTGGACCGTCTCGAACGATCACGTGGAACTTACCAGGGGCGCTTTGGTGGATAGCAACGAGGGCGGTGTCGTGCGGCTGGTCTTCATGGCATTTGACAGACTCGAGGAGATACTGCAGCCGCAAGCCGAGCCGCCGTCCGTCGTCATGAACGACGATCCCCAGCCCGTGTCGCGGAGAAACACCACTCGTATTCTCAACAGCAAAGTTATCTCGGCGTCCTTGGGAAAAGGCCGGCACATACAGCTCTCGGAGCCCGTCCGGGTGTATTTCAGGCATCTGGTAGTCGAGAATGTCACCAACCCCACTTGCGTCTTCTGGGATTACATCTTGAGGTAATTTCGCCTTTATCCGATCCTGTTTCCACTTTACACAATATCAGGAATACCGGGAAGAAAGAGTTTTCCTTTCTCATTTCTTTATTTTTAATTTTCTTCCCATGTCTTCATTGCGCCATATACAACGCTCACGACACATCGTTGAACATTTATTTGTAATTATTTACTTTTTTCATTATTTTTTTTTAATTTGACACTTTTGATCAAGAAATTCAACATTTTATACACAAATTTTATAAAAAAGATTATTCAAAATTGATTGAAAAGTAAGATTTCTAAATGAATTCTTTATCTTGAAAATCTAACTCTTAACTTTCAACATTGATTAACTCTTATAAGTCTTTAATAAGAAAAGCTCAATCTTAAAATACATAGCTTGAAAATCCATAATTTATGCGCGGCTGGATTTTAACGCATCTTGTATATTGGATGGAAAATGTCAATATCTTCTCTACACGCAATACCTTATTTCACATAGTGCGTGGTCGGACGAGGGATGCCAAATACAAAAGACCAACGAGACTCACACCGTATGCGAATGCAATCACCTGACGAACTTTGCCGTGCTGATGGACGTGCACGCCGTCAGATTGGACATCGCTCATCAAGTCGCTCTGCAAATCATCACGTATATAGGCTGCATCATTTCCGTCGTCTGTCTCGTTCTGGCCATTCTCACATTTCAATTATTTCGCGGACTGAAGGTAATATACATAACTGCGATATATATATTGATCGGCGTTCAATTGCAGCAAGATGAATTTTTTTTCCTCACTCACGGATTTTCTTTACAGTCGGATAGGACGACGATTCACAAGAATCTCTGCATGTGCCTGCTGATAGCCGAGATACTCTTTGTTTGTGGGATCGGTCAGACGAATCAGAGGGTCCTCTGCGGCATCGTGGCCGGCTTATTGCACTTCTTCTTCTTGTGTGCATTTGCCTGGATGTTCCTCGAAGGTTAATTCATTCATTCGTCTTATTAGCGTCGCAATTTGTAATGTATTCTGCTTTATCGTCATTTATTTTTTACTCGATTTTATATCACATCGCAGGATTCCAATTATACGTGATGCTGATCGAAGTCTTCGAGGCGGAAAAATCTCGACTTCGTTGGTATTATCTGGTCGCATATGGCGCACCGCTACTGGTTGTAGGAATTTCCTGCATAATTGATCCACTCAGCTACGGTACCGATCGGTATTGCTGGCTGCGTGCAGATAATTATTTCATCTTTAGCTTCGTTGGGCCTGTGATACTCGTTATATTGGTAATTAGTTAATATATTATGTTAATTAATTAAACAATGCAATTGATCTGCTTAAAGAAAAGCACGTTAAGAAGAATTGATAATATACGATTGCAACTACTTCATATATATATATATATATATATTAACGTTTAATTGATAAAATGATAAAGATACAGTTGGTAAATTTTATAGAAAGCAATTTCGCGTATTAGGCTATTCGCAGCACGTAGATGCAAGACTCAATGTAGGAAACTCGTAGGTGAGATCGTTAGCACAAAGGGTGTGACTTGGCATTGTGTCCCGAAGTATGTCTTAAGTGTTAGTTTATTGTTACCCGCACCCGGTGGGCAGACTACCCTTACATATTTAAGACGGCCCATTAGTGTCTAGTGGCGCTTGCTCTGCGAAACGTTGCGAAATATATTTTATAATCAGGGACCATCTCCTAATTAAATAAAAATAAAAATATCGGTCCGAATCGAGTTGAAAGAAAGTCATATCGGAATATTCTATTAAAACTCGCTTAAGCTTTTTCTATGAATTCAAAATATATTATATATAATTAAACATGTGTACCATTATAGTTGGTAAATTTTATAGAAAGCAATTTCGCGTATTAGGCTATTCGCAGCACGTAGATGCAAGACTCAATGTAGGAAACTCGTAGGTGAGATCGTTAGCACAAAGGGTGTGACTTGGCATTGTGTCCCGAAGTATGTCTTAAGTGTTAGTTTATTGTTACCCGCACCCGGTGGGCAGACTACCCTTACATATTTAAGACGGCCCATTAGTGTCTAGTGGCGCTTGCTCTGCGAAACGTTGCGAAATAGGATCTTATGTTACATCTTCCCCAGTTTTGATAGACTACAGGACGCATTCGGCATAATTGCGCCGCACTGACGGCCATGTAGGTAACGCGTATGATTGATGATTATCCCCTTCGATCTAATCAATCAATTCAACTTCGCCAAATGTGGGCTTACGCTTATCGATAATTAATTCTCTTAAAGCGAAAGATTAATTAATTTAATACACGACAATGCATACGAAAATGCAAGAAATTTAAAAAAATATTTCCTCTTTTAATCTCTCTAGATGTTTAATAATTAACAATACGAATTGATTTGAAATTTAATTTTTTTTTGTATGGAATTATTATATCTTTTGAGTTGTATTATTAATTTTGCACATCTTACGTAATTTTTATTGGCGTTATATATTTAAAAAAAAATTTCTCATGACTTCTTCATCATGTTTCAAAACATAAAATTAATAAATTAATAATTAATTTCTCGCGAGGCCAGCCATATACAATTTTTCTCTTTAATTTATAAAAATTCAATTTTATCTCATTGGTCATAATTGAAGCAAGCACAAAGGCATAGTTTAAAAAAAAATTGTCATTGATTGGAAGAATTAAACCTTTTTCGCGGCATCTTCACAAATAAATCTCGCGATCCTTGCAAATCAGGATCATAAGAGGGAACGATGGTAGCGGTAATCTTAGCGACCGAGAATGCGCGGTAGGCGGACTCATTAAACTTTTCGTCGTTTCGTCCTTCGGAGAATCGTGTCGGGAGTAACGGCTCCCACGGGAACAGCAGTGTGGCGCGATTATACAGACCGCTCCGTTTCGGAGGAGAGGGGAAGGATTATACTGCCGCGACGTAAAGAAGAAGGGTTAAAACGGCACATCCTTGCCTCTATCCCTTTCTCTCTTTCGCTTTCTCGCTTTCTCCTCTCGTCGCAGAGAGAATTCGAATGCTCGAACGAGGGAGGACTCGTGCGCGAGGAAGAACCGAGGAGAAAACGAGAGAGGATCATCTCGCTCGAGACTCCCCCTCCCCCGTCGACAAGCCATCCCGTTTGTTGCCTTTGTCGCGGCCGTCCGCCGGGCCCAATCGCACGAAATTAATGTCTCGCCATTATTAGCAGAAGTTAGCCGACTGCGAAGAAGTTGCCACGCCACGGGTGTACTTTCGGGCGGGCAGGCAGGCAGGAGGATAAAAATAGAGTCGAGTGGAGTTATAACTTCTGGCCTCTGATCGCGCACGTTCACTCTTGTCGCGCCATGTTTCTTCGTTAATGCAATTGCCTGTCGGCGAGAGGTCCTCGGATTAGATGACACACGAGACTCGCATCTTTTCTTCGACCAACGGCGTTTTTATTCTCGTCGAACGCTTTTAAAGCTGTATCACGCTATCGCGAAAATAAATGGAAAAATGGAAACGCAAGAAAAGAATATCTATATAAAACTTTCATATATAATATATTTTATATTAAAACTTTTACAATTCGAGAATTATAAAAGTCAGTATAGATATTTTACGAAATAAGTTTTTTTTTTGAAGGTGCGGAAAAGAATCTTCGATACGTGATAAAGCTTTTAAGGTTTTTTGCCACGGTAACAGATACGCGACGCTGTGCTTGCTCCGCATCATCTGTATCAATCCCAAGCACGAAAGTGCTTACATGGTATAACGATAAACATCCCCTAACGCGATGTAATGCCCCCGTAGATGGAAAAATAACTGTTCGAGTGTCGTAATTAAAGCGCGACGCTGGAAAACGTCTCGCTCGCCCCTTCGCGGTGGATAATAGACCGAGAACCAGTCGTTATCATAAATTCTTAATCCGAATCGACGGTAAAACTGAAAGTTAACCAAGTTCGGTACCATTAGCCGTAACAATGCCCGCAGTAAGTTCTTACGGTAACGATGCTGTAACGACGGTTTCCGGAGCGTGGCAATTTCTCGCGATAAAGTTACCGATGGGACCTACAAGAATTAAACTCGCCCGAAGGGGTAGATCGGCGACGGTGCAGCGAGCGTCAGATAGGTATTAAATTTTTAAGTCCGTTATATACTGTGGCAATCTCTCGTTTAATTGCCCGATGGAGAAATTGTCAGTTTTGAGTATAACAAAAAGAAAAATAGTGAGCTCTTTTGCTTTACTTCTATTATTGAATATTATTAAATTTTTGAAGATTAAACTTTCACTCGTAATTTATCAAAAAAGTTATATGAGCGCACGCAAAATTATGTGCTCGAACATACAGGGTGGTTCGTTATTGATTGTACAATTGAAAAGAGAATTATTCTATACGTGAAAGGAAAAACTAATTATAGAAAAATGATAGAAAAATATATTCTTACATCTCTCTTGAAGAGTATTAACATGCAATTAAGAATCGCTCTGGTAACTGGCGAGGATTTCTGTCACAGAAGCGTGAAATATACCATATCCAGTTTTCCGGAACGACCGCGGACACCGTTCGCGAAGAGTCCGAATTGAAGCGGATTATCCGGCGGAAATTAGTCACAAAACTAACAAAGGGACTTCGGCGACCCCCACGCACGGCATTTGGCGTCCGCAATCGCGGCTGAATCGCGATCGCGTAATTCCGCAAACGGGGCGATTCCGAGCCTTCGGACAAAAGATGTAATAATTCTGCTCCTATGTTTTCCACCGCACCACCTTTCTATCTCCCCGTCCCTCTTCTCGCACTACCACCCTCACCGACCGCCGTCATTCTATCGCGCGACGTTTCTCCGACCCTCGCGAGAAACCCTTTGTTTGCAAGACAAACAAGAATCGTTTGCTCGCAAGAGTCAGCGGTGGTGGAGGTTGAAGGACCCGACTCTCGGGAGAAGACGGAATTTTAATTACGAGAATATTACCTGAGAGTCCGCGAATAATTGTACTAGCCGATTTTGGAATGAGGAATTAGCAACGATTCGCGGTATCAATGACGAGATGCTATTCTGGATACTCGATATTGCACAGTCGACCAAAATATTTTTTAAATAGCAAAATAATTTTTTTTCACGATCTATGTAGGTCGAATATGTAAACGAAAAATATCGGCGCGCTCGTGATGAATGAAATCGCTTGTTTTTAATATATCAACAGCGCGAAATGTCGCCGATAAGCCAGTTGAACGATATCGTAAACATTTTAATTAAAGCTGGCGAAGGATATTTAATTTCGAATAATTAATGGTCGTCCGTCGAAATTCATGCGTCCCCGACAAAAGCCATCGCCCTCTCGATTACTCTTGATTTTCATTACACGAGTCAACAGCCACGAGGCTGACGGCTATTAAGCGCCCTTTTTTCCGTCCCCCGCTGCTCCGAAACGAACTTATGGATTCTCAGCGAAAGCGCTGGAGATTCAAACACGGCTCGCGACACATTTTGTTCTACGCTATTGTAAAGGTCTTATTCGAGTGTTTCATTAAACCATAAAACAATGTGCTTTTGTGATAAAAGCATCCCCTGTATGGTCAAATGTTATTCAATACAGCGTATATAAAATTTGTTTCTTAATTAATTTTATACTAAACAATCGACATAGATAAAAGACAGTTCATATATGTACGAGAACTTGCATTTCTAAAATTTTTTTCAGTTTTTCAACTCCTGTGAAAAATATCAAATTATAGTCGATTATGATGCTTTTGATATATAATTGTATTATAATGTGCTTTATAATCGCCACTCATCTTTGAGGACTGTTATCTATTACTATCCAGAAAATTCATGCAGTAATATGTTTACGTAAAAGGTCAGACATACGTACCGACTCGATACATGGCAGCATGACGTGACCAAAGGATAAAAGGACGTTACGACATTACGTCGCGTCGACCCTTTCACCGTATTTATGCTGCCGTGAAACGCGATCTCGCGGACGAGCCGCGCGACCGGCTGAAAGATGAACAGAAAAGCGCGGCGACAGAGGATGAGATGCGAGAGAGAGAGAGATGAGGACGAGAACGGGGGTGAGGGGGCGCGTTTTCGAACCGCGCACCAATTTTCTTTGAACAACAGCGGCGTCTCGCTCGCGCGCGGACAATGCATAGCGGATTCAATAAAACCGCAACAATAAGGGTGAAAACTGCGAGGCTGGTGCGCGCCCAGCGAGGTATAGCGACAGGAGGCCGGAACGACGGGGTCGGGGAGGGAAGGGAGGGCGGGAAGGGGCTACGGCAGCGAGATGTACCGGTGCGAGAATGGGAAAGCGGAGGGTAATTTGAATGAAGAGACAAGAGACAATGCGTGGGCGAAGCGCCCATAACAGAACGGAACGCCGGAGCAGAGAGGAAGTAT